AGCGGGGCTGCTCCTGGGAGCACTCGGGTCCGGTTGGCGGCGCCGTCGATTTAAAATAGCATCTTTCGGACCAGTCTCCGCCGTCCCACTCCCCGACCTCGGCGTTGCTTGGGCTCCCGCAGCCCTCCCTAGGTCTCTTCCAAAGGACCACCTCACGGATTCCTTAGTAAGTGTGTCCAAGGTTTCCGCGCGACCAAGGTCCAGGCCAGCCCTTCTACAAGTCAGGGTTGGGGGAGCAGGGCGAGGTTGGGAGGGTCCTGTGGGAAGCTGGACCCTTCGCGGTTGCTCCCCCTCCACAGTCTGCGGAAATTAACAGCCGTCTTTTATGCCCTGGGCTTTGCGTTTTCCTTGTGTTGATTGTTTCGGTGCCTAAATTAGGTATTACGAGGGAGTCGCTGAAACACCACCACAAAGGTGTGCAAGGAAGAGGTCTGATGCTTTGGCTGGCCCGAGCTGGCAGGCGTTGGCCGCACCCCGGGGCTGGAGCAGCCCATGGCACTGCCCAGTCGTTCCCCACCATGTCCCCATCCCAGCCTTGCCTGACACCTCTGTAGGAACTCAATTAGTCAGACGTTCCCCGGGAGTCATCTTTCCCTTCCCCCAGCATCACAGCACTCCCTGGTGTTTGGTGTGATTGTGAATGACGAAGTAACGTTTTTCTCTTAACAGTGGATCGAAGCTCCAAGAGGAGGCAGGTGAAGCCTTTGGCAGCTTCTCTGCTAGAAGCTCTCGATTATGATAGTTCAGATGACAGTGATTTTAAAGTTGGAGATGCGTCAGGTAAATGATTCCTTCTCTCTCCCTCTTCCCCAGCTTTCTGGAGTTGGGTATATTTTTAGACTTTAAAAAGAAATCTGTTTTTTTTTTTTTTATTAAAATGCCAATTTAAAGTGAAAGCACACAAACTTCATTTATTTTGTCCATTTGATTTTCCACATTTCCCTGAGATCCTGTCATTAGATCCTCTATCATTTCTTCTGTTTCCAGTTGGTAATTAGCTGGCAAGGAAGGACTTTTTGCAAAGATACAAAAGCATTTTCTCTATTCTAAACCTTTAAATATATTTATGCTTGTTTCATGAACAGTTTTGAAAAAAATCAAGAGATATTCTAAGGTAGAATAATATCTTGAGGATAATGTGTACCACAGTAGCCCCCGAGCAGGGTTCTTCTCTTTTCAGATCACTTAGCACCCTCTGAGGAGAGTTTTGGTTTCTGTCTGTTAGCTCTACCAGAAAAAAAATTGAACAGAGTAAAAGCTGTTCTTTAAATTATAGTAATTGCTAGAGTGGGCCTTTCAGAAATCTTTGAGTACAAAGTATGTACGCTTGCTCATTATATTTAGTAATTTTTTTAAAAAACAACTTATAAAATGGTCATATATTAACATTGTCCAAAATGGGAGAACAGGAAACTTCTGTATTCTGTTCAGTGTACTTCATGTGTATAATATCTGAAATTTTAATCGAAGGGATTTGAGAAACATAAAAATTATAATTGTTTTTGTGAAAAATACTAGCAAATACACGAACAATAAAAATATTTTTAATTCTCCCCCTTTTGATAGGAATGTAAATAAAGTGAGGAATAAAAACCTTTCCAATTTCGTCCTTTTAGTAGTTTTTGAATACTCTGGATTCCAGAGAGTTTACTATGGTTAGTTACATCTCTCCTTACTTCTGGTTTTCTTTTGCTGTGTGTGCTTTTTTATTTTTTTTTTTGTTTGTTTGTTTCCTGCTAGGGATGAAACTAAGTTGCTTTGTGTTACTGTTACTATTTTTAATAACATTAACAAATACAATTTGTATTTTGATTTGTTGAGAAGTTTTGTTTGCTGAATCTTATTTGATGTTTACAGTAACTTAATGAAGGAGATACTATTCTGCAGGGTAACCAGGGCACTACTGAGTTTAAAGAACTCCCATGAGATCACTCAGGCAATAATAATAGAATGAATTTGGCTCCAAAATTTACAGTCTATGCAGTTTAGATCCCAGGAGTGGAAAGATGTAATTTCAAACTGAAACTACTTGAGTATTATGATTTCTAATTGAGTTCACTCTCAACAATCAAAAGTTGATAAGTTTATCTTGGTGAACTATTTTTTAACCTTTGCTTCTCAGCTCTTTGTCATTTAGTTAGTTCACTGAAGTTAGACACTTCCTTTTAAAAAAGGGAGAGAAAGGAAAAGAGAGGTAAAATTCAACTCTGTCTTAATTCTCTTGGTGAAGACTTTGGCAGATAAGAATATTCTAGGGTAGAATGTAGTTCTGGTTTATTAAGGTTGAGATTGCAATCTGTAGCAAAAATAGTTAGGTCTCTTGGACCAGTAAGTGGTGTGCAGGTGAAGGTGCTGCATCCCACATAGCCAACTCTCCTGTTCAAGTTCCTGACTGGAGGCGTGGAAATCACGCTAGTGTATATGCCTGCATGCTCAAGATTCTGGAAGGAGAATGGAGAAGGGATTGTGGTTTGGCCATCTTCCCTGGGAGGTGATTTCTCACTTTCCCTCTCTCTCTGTCTCCAGAGAGCACAAACCCCCTATACCAAAAACTGGAAAAAAAAAAAAAAAGAAAAGAAAAGAGAAAAAGGAAACGGAAAAAGTTAGGTCTCAGAAGTTACGAATTCTTTGAACATTATAGAAAAAACTACAAAATTTAATTTGAGTATCCCATAATTGTTCCTGTGATAATAAATCCTGACTTGGTAGATACTTTTTAAGTTGAGATGAAGTTATGCACATGTATCATAAAAAGTTCTCTTTACAAAGGATAAAATCAGCTAATGGTACAAACATAAACCATTTCCTGAGAATAATTTATAGTACCTGGGCCAACAGGTGACATGATGGTTAGGGAAATGGATTCCCACATGGCTAACCACAGTTCAAGTCCTGGACCTGTCGGCTTGCTTTCTCACTTTGCCTTTCTCTCTGTCTCTCTCTGGTGAGCGCATGTGCTCTATAGCAAGTTAAATTAATAATAATAATAATTCTTTTAAAAAGTAATACTTTTATGATATCAAGCTAAATAGAGATTCTTGACCTTTTTAAATCCTAATCAAAATTAAAGATAACCATTTTTAATGAAAAATGTTATGATGAATTTTGTTAGACTGATAAATATGTATATATTTTTTCTAAAAGCACTTAAAAGCATGTACTTTCTTTTCTCTCTTTTCATTTAATTTTTATGAGTCTACTATACTCATAATTTGCCTCTTTGACCCCTGGGGAACTTTTATATTTGTGACATAAGGCCTAAGGTTATAAATTTATCTTTATAGTTCTTTGTTGGTATGTTCTCATAAAGAGAATTAAGTAGAAAGTGATCGTGTTGTAAATAATTACTAGTTAACAGAAATTGAATCATATTTTCCACTCCTGACTCAAGTACATTGGTGCTCCCTACAGTGAAGATGTTGGTTTACTTCTGATCATCTGTGAGTTGGGTTAAAGTCCTGTCTCTTCTCTGTGTGAGATAGTATATTTAGTTAGGTGTAGACAGTGAGTAAGTGTTAGGCATATTACCATTTTTCAGAAATGTTGCTGTTCTGCAGTTGCAACCTTACTGCTGAATAGCAGATTGAATTAAGGTGGAAAAACATTGGCTAAAAACGTCTGTCTGAGCATATCTTTTTCCAGAATAGCCTCTAGAAATGATTTAATGAATGCACTATTGACATTTTTTTATTTATTTATGTAAATAATTATTTAACTTTATTTAATATTGTTACCTGTTAATTTACTACAGGGCATGCACACTCACCATGCACAACACACACACACACACACACAGAGAGAGAGAGAGAGAGAGAGAGAGAGAGAGAGAGACAGAGGGAAAGTGAGAAAGCTATCAGGTCCTAAAGTCAAACTGCGGTCTGCCGTGTGGGAGTCCAGCACCTTAACGACCACACTACCTGCTGGCCCCTTGACTTTATTAAAAAAAAGTTTTTTTTAAGTTTGTTTATTTCTTGTATGAGAGAGACAAAGAGACAGAAAAACATGCACCTCTAACAGGGTCGCCATGCTTGCAATCTATTCCTAGTCCTAGCTGGCATGGGTTACAGGCATATATATGTATGCTAAGCCATCATGCTTAGGGAGATCCTGGGACACAAACCCAGGACCTTTCTCGTGTGAACCTAGTTGTGTTACCTAGCATCACCTTCTGGTCCCAAGGTACTGACTTCTTCAAAACTTAATGTTAAAATGATTTTAGTTGGCCTCCAGTTTTGTTAACTGGATTCTGCATCCATTTCTTATCTTCATCTCGAAATCTCAAATGTTACTCCGACAATAATATTTTTTATATTTGTTTGGTTTTAAGAATAAATGTAGAAAATACTAAAAATTTATTATCAATAACTTTGTTGATAACATAACTTTATTCATTGTCCTTCTTAGATGATAACATAGAAAAATAGAAATCAACATTGGTAAAGAAGGATCTACCGGAAAGATAGGCATGTGATTATTGACAAAGTTCATAATTATAAACCTCTGTGTTTTGAAGATTATGAAACAAAATTATTTATCTTTTATCTCTAGTGAGAAAGCAGAACTAAGTTTCTAATATTGATTGAGGATAGTCAGTGAATAAACTTTAAAAGGAATCATTCCTAAAATGAGATGCATTTAATATGCATTAAATTTAATATGCATTTAATGATGGTGATAACTAGTAGAGGAATCATGTAGAAATCATGTGGAAATGTGAGGTGGGACTATATGAATTACTAGTTTTGCAGGGCTAAGAAAATTGAATATTGGCAGTTTCATTGTTTGGCCTCGTTAAAGTGGTTATTTTTGAGATGTAGGCCTATGATGGGAGACAGTACAGTAGATCGATTTATATATAGTTACCTGTTGTATAAATTGAGTATTTTTAAAGATCTATTAATTTTATTAAACAAGACAAACCATCAGTGCCATGTCCTGTGCCCTCATGCCAGCTAAAGTAAAGTGGTTAACTTTGTATCTTGACTCATGGTTAGTTTAGTTAGGTCAAATTACCAGAAAATTATTTAACTGGAAGATCAGTCCTAAGAGTTTGGTAGTATTTTGCTTTGGTAGCATTTTGTGTTTAATCTGACTTTGGGTAAGTGGATCAATATATATTCATTGACCACGAGTAGGTCTGTTTAGTGTTTTATTAGATGTTATAGTGAATTTATAAAGAAATTGTATTAATAATGAAATAAAATAGCAGATGTAATAAAATAACAATTAAAATAGTTAAATAAAAAAATAATAAAGGATGATTGATCATTTATTTATTTCTGGTATTTCAGAATAGATGCATTACCAGAGACTAGCGTGATCTACAACAGTTTCATTGGGGAGAAAAGAAATGAACTATGGGCCAGCTCCATGGTGTACTTGTAATGTGCTACTTAAGAGAAGGTGGATCTTAATGACCATTTGGTTTGAATTCCCTGATGCCTGAAGCATTTCATTCACAATAGTGAGTGCCCAAGGTCTGAAGGGTTATAGGATTAGAGGAAGTGAATCACAGTGTAACCAGATCCAGTGGAGGATGCTGTTCTCTCTCTCTCATGTGTACACATGCACTCTATCATTCATAAAAAGTAAGTAAGTAAATAAATAGATAAAGTTGAACTATGACCTGAAAGAGAAAGAATATTTAGAGAAACAGCAGCTTGGATGAAGGATTAAAGTTATGCAGGTTGGAGAATATTTAGGAGATCAGGACTGAGTGAAAAATACTGGGAGAGGCAGGTAGAATGAAGTCAAGTTGAGGTCTTAGATACTAGAAGAGG